TCGTTTAAATATCCCGAATTCTCGAAGGTCGTCGCTTCGTCTCTTGTCTTTTTGCGCCCCTTGCGCGCGCCTCAAATCAGTAGATCAAATTTCCGCATTCAAAAATATCTAAAAATATAGGTTATAGACTGACTTAAAATATTGTATTATTATTATGTTCATTTATTTGCACCGTTATTTTGAAATTTTATATTTTTGACGTACAGTTTTCACAACAACAAAGATTGAAGTCGAATGTTGTCAAAAATGTTGGTTTTCGTCGGTCAAAATTATCGAATTTTCTGAACTATTCTTCCATTATTTAGGTTTTCGATATTGGCTTAAGCCCTTCATGAGATGAAAAGGGCGACTTGTTTAAGCGAAAATTTATTTTATTTAATTTGTGTTTATTTTAGCGAATGATCTACATTTTCAGGAGAGTTAAACAGTTCCTTCTCTCGCCCGTATAGGAGTTAAAAGGAGACTCTGCTCGCAGGGTATAATATTAGATGATAAGATTCAGAAAAGTTTAGAAAAATCGTACCTGAGGATGAGGAGAAAAAAGCCAAAAACTAAAAAGTAGCACTGTTTGATTTTTGGCCGTAATAGACTAAACACTTAAAAAATCGTAAAATAAAATACACTGTTAGAATCTAGGATAATCCAAGCACATTATATTAAAATTCCAGTTAAATTGACGTAATAGTTTTGCGAAGCGAGCGAGATTAAAATTGTCCAAAATTTGCTCTGAATGAGTTTGGTTCCACCTTAACGCATCGCATGCGTTAGCAGCCTAGTTATATCAAGCTATACATGTCTTTGCAAATTAAAGTTCCTCGAAAATTCTTTGTTTTAAAAATTCATATCTTCTTCATTTTAAAAGGCAATCTTTACAAAACTTTTCAATCTTATTATCGATGTGTGACAAATTTGAAAGTAAACTAGGCGCTGTAGGCAGCTTTGACTGGGATACCTGGAAGGGGGGAGTGGAGGACGTGGTTTCAACATGCATGGAGTATTTATACACTAGTCAATTGAAACCCCCACCCCCCGACCGCCGCGAAATACCGGGGAATTTAACATTTGAGTGGTGTTAAAATCAGACATTTTCCCCGGTAGTCGGGGGCACATTCACTGTTAAAACCTCCGCTATTGTGGCCCCGTTATTTTGGTTTAGTAGTCAACAAGAAACACATTTCACGCCAACTCCAAATTCTTGTGCTTCACAGAGCCAATTGTTGTGTGTTCCATGCACTGAATATTCAATGCTCAATATTTTCATGGGCTCTGAACCTCAAATCGTGCGAAAACGTTTAGGTTTACGTCTAGTCAGCTGAGAGTTTAATAGTATTAAATTGAAAATAAACAATGCTTGTAAATATTGCGAAGCAGTAGTTTTAATAGATTAATCATGATCTGATTCTACATTCGAACTGACCGAAACTACTGAGCAAAACCCGCGTATAAGAACATGTTTTTTTTAAGAACCTGTTAGGCTAAAATTCTCACTTTAAGACCCCTCCACATAAGAACCTATTAAGGCTACAATTTTAAGAAAGGTTCTTATCAGTGGAGTTTAGTGTAAAAGTGTATAGGTAGAAACTGCTATGAGTTTGTTTGAGCATGTGTTTTGTGTAGAACATACTGCTCTGTACTAGGCTACGGGCTGCCTGTGCTTGGAATCACAACGCCTTCTTGGTATTTTTCAAGATGGCCGACCTCTTGTTTCCAGGCCCTTACAAATTCAAACGAGCTTTAAGATCTCCGCCCGATTCCCCGCTGAGAAAACCATTCGTTAAATCCCCCAACCCCTTAAGGTTGGTGCCTACTATTGTCAGCGCGCACACTTACTGCGCATCTGCATCGAGAGATTCCCGCGGGTTTCAAAAGCAAAACACTCAAAGGTACAGAAAACTTCGGCCTTGGAAAAAATTAAGACCAAGAACAACAGCAATAACTATTATTTATGTAGTCAAAGGTGTATCACAGAGTAATTTTCAAGAATTCAGGTGTTTTTGGCAAAAAATCATATGTTTTTTCTTTCTAGAAAAGGCAGTTTCGATGGCCTCGGATCGGTGAATAATAAAATACCTTTTCCAATATTTCCATACAGATAAACTTAGTTTGTTTTAAAGTTAAATGAAAATTGTAAAGGCATCACAAATTACACCAAATATCAGCCATTCATTTAGTTTTTCCTGCGAGTACAATTACATAAAATAAACTTTCGTTGGAAGACCTCGTATTTACATAAACTGTCTTTCACTCACTCAAAAAGTATACACTTATTTCAATAAAGTTAGTCACCTGAAAAGCTACAAAGCTGAGACCGACAAGGATTATGGATAGATACATTTTACATGTTTTAACCGCTTGATAACTGTTGATGGACTTGAGATCTTCTACCAGTTACAAGTTCACCTCCTCTGAGCATCCTCAACTGCTGCAGTTTGTGTCAAAAGCTTTACTTGTTGGATATAAAATATTTCCCATGATTCTCAGCGATCTCAGCTTTCTATAGGTTTTTGGTGACTAACTTTATTGAAATAATTATATTCAAAAACGTTCACGCAAAGAGCATACTGACAAAGAAAATTATTATTTTGATTTATTAAATCTGTCTCTTGCACTTGTGAAGTTAAACTAAATGTAGGTTTGTATTTTACGAAAGTTTTTGCCTGTCTCTTGCTTTGCATACACGACTGCCGTGAAACATTCATGAAAAGCCGTTCTTTTTCCGACTTCAAAAAAAAATTTACATACCATTTGCTTAAGGAAATCTTTTCTTCTACACAGGAAATGATCAAGCTTTCTGGTACTTTCAAGGCTTAAAATATCGCTTTTTTTTCCAGTTTTCCTCCTGCTTGTAAAACCACGAAGAGATGAAGGAGCTGCTGCAAACACGCCAAAAACAGAGCGAGTCATGCTGTTTCGTAACGCCGCGTCACGCTTGTCACGCTTTTAGCACCCGATTTATCCTCCAAAAAAATATTTTTAAAAATCATAACTTTTTAAAACGCGTGGGTACCCCCCATTTTTTTCGTCCAAAATGTAACAGAAATAGTTAAATTATTTTTTACAATAGAATTTTTAAAATAAAAATGGTTTTGGATGCAAATGTAAGCAAAAATGTAGCATCCCTTTAGAACCATATTTTACACTTTTGAAGGCAAAACCGTCCAGAGTTAATATGGTTAATCAAATTCACCTTAAGGAACTTAAGGTGAATTTGATTAACCATATTAACTCTGGACGGTTGAATATTGCTCACGTAAGGAGCATCACGCGGTCGCGTTGTTGTTGGTATATGTATTACAAACAGAGTCAAGTACGGAGCGGCCGTTAAAGAAGTAACACTCATAGGCTATTCAAACCGTTTGACCTTTGGAATGAAAACGCCTGCATTACAACAGCGAACGAAGGAACACGGACACAAGATAAGTAAACAAGTATAACGTTGATTTAATTCAAATAATCGAAAGGAAAAAAAACCCTATAGAAATCCAACCACATTCGATGTCCTATATCCTTGGCTTATCATATAATTTCTGACTTTTGAAACCCTGTTCTCCTTACCGATCTTCGCTCGTTCGAGAAGTGAAAATACTGCTCGAGTAGATGAACCATGAAGAGTAAACCAAAACAAGCTATTGCTCATGAAGTTCATTGAAAATTATTAGAAATAATCGCTTCGAAACCATCGGTATCTTCTTGCCTTGAAATCCATGTTTACGAAATTGATAAATTATTATTTCTAGTTCGGCTGTCTTGAATTACAGCAGTCAACAAAATAGAGCATGCGTAGACTTAAACCTCTGCCACGTGGTCTGCTAGCTCGGCCCTCTCATAATCATTTGACAACATAGTGACATTGATTGACATCTGGTACATGATAATTGATGGTAAAAAAAAACAAAGACATTTTATGACTGTGATATAACAGGTATCAAGCGCCCTGCAGGTGTCCCAGTAATTATTCCTTTTTCCGATATATCAAATATCTTATGTCACGCTTGCGTGTTAATCATCTCTAAGAAGTGAAAGTCCCGTTTTTAACGAGAAAGACGTTCGAATGAGCCGAATGGTCAATGAGTCATGAGTCATGAGTCATGAGTCAATGAGTCAAATAGGAAAATTAATAATATTTTATATTCTAGTTGTTGGAATACCACCAAACAATCTGGGATAGAATATTGCTACTGTTTGCTATAGAAGGATTCAGTGGCCACCATCTATAGCAGGGCTAAAATGCGCGGATAGATTGGAGCGAATAAACAAATCGGCGATCATTCGTGCAGCTTTGCAGTGAGATGTCCTAATAAAAACAGGTCTTATCTCAAAACCTATTGAGTTTGGTAAGTCTCTTAGTAGTAGAGATATCGTAGTTAAATTTTCGGCGCATAAAAAATCGATTATCGGTTCAAATTTCAATAACATTAGAGTCGAGTTGGAGTACAAGTCCAGTGAATGGTTCGAAAATTCGAAAGCTCGAAAAGTCTAAGTTGGTTGGTGTTTTGAAACAATTACAATAGTAAGAAATGGATTTCAGTTCTAGAGTAAGAAGTTTAACAAGGCTCAGTCTAACAATACATGCAGCAAACCAGCAGAGAATGTAATATTATAATTTTTCGCTGGATTACTTTCACCTAATGTTTTGGGTTTACTGTGTTAGTGTTCAGATGGTTGGCTACATGTCACATGAAATACTTGAAGGGATAGAAGCAGTCCATGGCCGCTATAACTTTAATACCGGTAGCATTTTTGATAATTTTCACGAGAGATGTTATGATTTATTTTATTCGAC